CTTGTTCACAGCTGCACTGTTGAAGATGGGCAGGGCGAAAAACGATCCATTATCGATGAAAGCGGGTAAGACAGTAGGTCTACTAAAATGATTATGTCAAATTTATAAAGCTTAGGTGTCACACCGATCGACAACTGATCGGAGATCCGACATATGCAGAAGCGTTAAATATGGCTTATCGCGAATCCTACGTATTCAAATTTGCCGACAGAAGTGTTCTACGATTTAAATGCGGAATACGTCTCTGTTCGAAAGATGATGGGGGTTGCGACGGTGTCACGGTAAGTTCAGATTATTGGTATACCAGTAAGCAACCTCTAAAAATCCCTGAGAGCATAACTGTTTTGACTGATAAATCTTAACTCTAGCCACCCATATGCCTCAACGAGACGCGTATTCAAAATGTTGATGATATGAACGAACAAACGGGCAAGGTTGGATGCCAAAAATTCGATTTGCTTTCTAATTTCCATAATAAGCATTATTAAGAAATGGAGGCATCGTCGTACAATAAATTCTTTTTCTGGGAAAGAGGTGGATTTGTTGTCACAACAACTTTATATCCTTGACAACGGAAGAGAAGAGTTGGAGCAACTGAATCAGATCAGCGAAGGTCAGTTGCATATAATGATGATATGGGAAAGATAATCAAAGTTTTCGGCGTTAATCCTTTGAAGGATCGAAGCCACTCTAATAAGCAAAAGAATTGCTTCGCGTTTGAAAGCATGCAGTATTTGTCTAGTCGAAATTATATTCAGTTTCCATAATATACCCTATTATGTTTACATATATGTGGTGCAAAAATTCCAAAAAGTTTCAATAAGCCACGCATACTCATGTAAACTCTCTCTCTCTCTCTCTTGATTTAAATTCGTGAATTCAACTCAGCTGACGAGTCAGCAATTAATTTTCATGCTCCGATTTCTCTACCTGCGTAAGTTTTGTACTTCTGTGCCGTAAAGATTTGTTAGGTGGTCTTTATCCAATCTCAAAGGCCTAACGTTTCAAAGCCTTCGTCTTGTTCAGATCTAGAATGATAAATGCTCACCTGTCCACCCTGCCAGTTCCCAACATTTTACCATTTTGTTTTCAAAAAAATTGTCAAGGAATGAAAACGTACTCGAAGACCATCGAGAAAAGTTTGCGTCGGAAGTGAGTGGTTGTAGCGGACTGATGACCATACTGTAGACAATTAATTATGGTCTCCAAATTATAGCTTGCATGACGATACGAACGGAAAAAAAATTGGCTGTTATGAATAAGCACTCATTTTTGTTATTTATTACTGGATTGTTTGTAGAGATGCAAAATGCTTTATTTAGAGACCATTAACATGAAAAAGTTAAGCTCTTGAGATCGATTAAAGACCACCCAACAAACTGTACGGAGCAGAGCACAAAATAGTTGTACGCAATCATGCAAGTAAGAAAATCTTCCAGCCAATGCTCCATCTTCACGAATTGTGTGCTTCGGCCTGCACGCTTCTGCATGGACGACCTATATCATCGCTACTGGCTTCATTTTGTCAATGACCTTTGCTTTAGTACAGGGGCAGAAGACAGGTATACGCTCCACTTTAATATATTTTGGTAAAGAAGTTTGTGTGCAATATCTAATAGCCAAATTTTCTCCATTTATGTCGTAGTTGGATAAGTGACTGCAGAAAATTGCTTAATTTTAGTAGCTGTGTTGACAAGCCTTGATGCAGCATGAAGTCAACGCACCCGGATCCCGCGATAACTGTCCGATGGTAAATATTGTTATGAATCGCTTTATAATACCGGTACTTATCTCAAGCAATATCAATTTTTACGCTATCTTACCAGCTGCTCACATCTCGTAAGGTGAGGCTCACGCTAGCCTTCCAATACTGCCTAGAAAATATTTGCAAATGTCGATTTTCCTGACATTCTTAAACATGATAAATAGCCACCTCATTACGTTCATAATCCTAAATATGCTATATAAGTTGCGAAACACACAACTTACAGATAGAAACATAATCGATGCACTAAATGTTTCGGTCTCTTCTCCTTGGCGTTAATCTCTTAGAATTTCCATGTTAGCAAAACCATTAACAGTCTTGTTTGAAGCATTGCTTCTGCATTATGAGTTATGCAATTTGATGTTTTTTGAACTTATGATCTAGATAGTAGATGCTGTTTTGTTCTCCAATCTCTTCAACATGTAACATTAGACTGCATTACCGTTTTGACTGCGAAATTTTTTTGCGATAAATGTTCAATTTGACAGTTGAAAACTAATTAAGGAGAATGCGATATTATTCATTACATAATGAACACAATTTTAAAAAAGAAATATGATGACGCCTGGATCTTGCAAAAAAAAAAACTTGCAACTCCGTTCTTCATTGTTTTGTCAAATGCTGTATTCATATTATTGCGTAATACT